TTCATGGTAATGAACTGTGATGAGTTTTGAGAAGATAGTTTTAAATAGGAAATTATAAACAATTAATTGTCTGGAAATGTAAACAATACAAGATATGAAAATATGTTGCTAATTTTTAACTTCAAAATGTTTACACATGATAATTATTGTACACTTTACTTTTCAAATAAAGTGTATGTTTTTTAAGTACTGTTCATCACTCCATGCCCAATTTTAAACACCTTCAATATGTTATAAATACTTCAGAAAATATAGCATATGTGAAAGGAAGAAAAGTATATAGTAGTAATCAGTAATGCAGGCATACTGAAAATCATTAACACAGGGTATCGAATTGTTTACAAAGTCAAGTCAGATGATGAAAATATGATGTTAATAACATATGTCTTCTTCCTTGTCCTGTTTTCATTGAATGAAATAGAAAAATTGTCTTAAAAATATTATTTATACATGAAGAAAATTTTCAAATATAACTTGACATTGTATACATAATTATCATTTATGAATACAATACACATCTTAAATAGGTCATGGGATGTGGAATTGTTACAGTGATTTACCAAATTTTCATTATGTGATTTACTTACATGCAAACACACTATACCATTTCAAAACAGGTTTAGTGTAAACTTCATATTAAACGCTTAATATTGAAATAATCATAAATTACTTTGAATATTCCATTTTCATAACCAATGATTTCTCCATTCCATTCAATGTTTTCGAAATCACTATTTGTCCACACATGAAGAATAAGTTTATTAACTAAAGTAGATGGGTTTACTTCATGTTGAGTCCCTTCCTTTTTCAGTCTGATGATACACTTTAAGTTGTCTACCAATTTCTCGAGGGTAAAAATTTTTCCTTTCTCTGAAAATTTTGTTAAAATTTTATGTTCTTTTGCAAGTGGAAATACTGTTTTGTATAAATTTAATTGCTTTTTGACTGCTGCTATTCTTTCTGTCTTCTTCTTTATCTCACCTAAGGCATTATCAACTTTATTTTCAGTATCCCATAATCCATCATCAGTTATATAATCTACGGCTTCGTTCACCTTTCTTTCTTTTCGCTCTCTAATGGCCTGTACATTCTGTTGTCGTTCTTTAATAATTTTCAGATGGTTTTGAAATAATAATTTTTTTTCCAATTTATTCTTTGATAAAGCTTCCCTTCCTTCCTTCCTAATATTACACAAGAGTTCTTTTTTTTCTGATGTTGTCTTTTCCTTTAACCACTTATCTGTATTGTTATCACAAAATAAGATGTGATTTTCCACACTAAAAACAGTAGATGTTGGTGCGTCTATCATTTTTTTGTCCAGTCTTCCCATAAGTCTCTCCACCGAAATATTATTGGTGGCACAACTACTGCACTTATTTAAAACATCTTCAGATGGATTAAAAAATTTTCCTGTTTCTTGTATAAAGGGACTAAAAAGAGCTAATGACTTGGTTTTTAAAGATACACAAAACTTTTTTAAAATTGAACATGTTATATCATTATTAAAATCATCATATAAAACATCCTCAAATTCATCATTTGGTAAGAAAGGACCATAAAACAGAGTAATTTTCCTTGAAAAAAGTAAAATGGGTTCCTGTATACAAAGATCTAAAAATTCAACTACCCTTCTATAAACACTGCCCATAGACAAAGCATTGGGTAACTCTTCTGCTTTTGACCAATAAGGTTCAGTAAAGGACTTGCATAAAATACCAAGTGCTCTTAAAATACATAAAATATAATTATTTTGTAAGCCACACACAATAAAATCAGTAACAGAATTCAAAGTGCCCTTTGAAGATAACAAGTACTGTAAAATATGTTTCCTTAGACAAAAAATTCCTAAGGAATTATAAAACAAAACATTAAATCTATTTCCTTTCACTTTCACCAGAGGAATTGTATCAATACCTTGTTCCTTAATATAAGTAGTTGTTAAAAAAGGATCGCCTGTTCCATCTTTAAAAAAAAGTTTTGATACACATGAAATAAGATAAAAAGTATAAGACTCTCTAATCTTACAAGATACATTGTTAAAAGTAATATTTACATCTTTTTCCAAATTTAAAATGTCTTTCAAACACTGGTCTGAGAACTGTAAAAGAGCATGTACAGAGCATTTAAAAGAATAAAAATCTTTGTCACAATTAAAATCATCCCTGCATTTGTTCATTAAAATATTATTCACCTTCTCTTCTGTAACACTACGATCTGTCATAAAACTGGAAATATTATTTAAAATATCACAAGACTGACCATCAGTTATTTCATTTAAAATATTCAAAGTAGTTTGAACGTAAGTATCAGCCTTGCCGTCACTTACTTCTTTCAATCCAGCTGTAAAAATATTTTCATCTGTAGCTATTTTTAAACCATAAAAATGTCTACCTTTTTTAGTAGTCGCATCTCTGTGCATGGTTAAATTCTGTGTATTTAAAAACTTCTCTTTCAATTGTTTTTTACATAAAATACCCATTTCATTACTAAAAATTGCATTTGTACTCTTAGATGGTAGTTCTTTCACTTTAAAATTCACTAAAGATAAAACAGCATTAACTACTAGCTCAACATGTTCAATGCCAATGTTATGTGATCTAAAAAAATAAATAAGTTCCCTAATTCTATGGTCATATGATCTGCCTCTAGTATTTTCTCTAAAATCTAAAACTTTCACTTTCTCACTCTCTTCCTGTTCTTCCTCTCTCTCACAACGTAAAATATCAAGTTCTTTTTTTAAATCATTTAAAATTACGTTTAAGGAATTACATTGAACACTTCTGTCTTTCATAATTTTCTCAACACATACTTTTTTGTCTTCTTTCCTGTCTATCTTCTCTTCCTTTTCTTTCTTCATTTTCCTTGTTACATGTAATTTTGATCTTAATGTTTTAATAATTCTGTCTTTTCTTTGTATTGCTTGTTCATATCTTTTGGACTTCATTTTCTGCAGGTGATCTTTCAACAGCACTATTTTTTTTTGTAAATGAATAATTTTGATACTCTCATCTGTTGGAGGAGGGGATGGTGGTTGCAGTGGTGGTGGTGGGTCAGATTTGGATGTTATACATGCTGAATCTCTCACTGGCATTTTAAAGACACTTTTCAAAAAGTAATCACATTCGCTATTTTTTTCCCTCTAAGCCGTTCCATCTTTGCTTTAGTTCTTTTAATTTTTACATAAAGTGACTTTTTATCAATTTCTTCCCTACTCTTACCAATAACACTGCATATATCACTCTGGATCGAATTAATGTTTCCTTTGCATCTGTCGTATATTTCGATCACTAATTTGTTCGTTAGGGACATTCTGATTATGAATAGTTAGTTATAAACAAATATATTTACCCTATGTACACATACTATGTTTGCTGTTTTGAAAGAAATGATCATACTGTTAGTAAAACAAGACAAACACTAGACAAATACACACACATAACACACATACATAATTCATAGAGATAGTGTCGCCTGCAATTGTATTTATTTTCTTCTGACCGACAGATGGACAAGTGCCATGATAAGTGATCCCTGTGTATTATTCAAAAAGTACATACCTTAAAAGCTCAACAGAATAATTTTTTCTATATTTTTTTAATATCTTTGGTAAAAATCCTCAATGACGAAAAATGAAAGATGAATCTGAAAGTAAAATTAATAATATACTTAAACTTAACCAAATTACATTTTACATGATTAATTTCCAAGAATTATATTAATAAAATGTTACATTTTATATATCTAGCGGAGTTCATTAGTATTGTTCTTTATATTGAACAGAAATTACCTTCAACTTTCCACACTAACTGTATGTACAGGAATAAACAAACAGGTGAAAGAATATATACACAATGTCTCAGGCTAGGTAATCAGTGAAATCTGGAAAAAAAATGCTTTAATGCTTGAGAGGTTATAAAATTGGAGATCATTGTATGTAAACAATATGACATTCATTCAATGAAATTCTTATTACCTTGATTATCCAGCAAAGATTTTTCTATTTACAGTTCATACTCAAAGCATTCCAACAAGTGAAATTTATCTGCAAAAGGGAAAAGAACCCAATATTCACACTCCTTGATTGAAACAGACTATGAAGAAAGGGGGGTAACTCAATTGTAATAACTGATGAAACTATTGGGAGGCATAAAATGAAGTAAATAAACCAAACCTTAACTTGAATTATCGTAAATATATATTTTATATCCAAAGTTTACATATATCAATTAATTCTTGTAGGAAACAAAACGTATGTCATCAAATTGCCATTGTATTCAATATTTTTCTAGTCCCATTCATGGGCAATTATTCTTTAAAAAATCAGCAAGAAAAATCCATAGATTCCAAAATTCCAGTACTTGTACATATTGAAACAGCATCTCTATCCTTTATGAAAATGTGTGAAACTTGAGCGTACTCTATTATTATCCTTCAAAAAAAAATTCTTTCTTTTTTTTATTACATCCGTGTGTATCATAAAATGCCAATATTCATGATTTACGTGAATTTCCTAAAACAGAAAAATTTTTGAAGAATGATGCTTACTCAAAACTTATCAACATTACTTAAGTTTTATTATGTCAAGGTCCTATCTTTTTTAAATTAATTAAAAAACAAAAGACACTTACTCACTCCGAGTCATCTAAGTTAAGATGGCCGACTCTGAACAAGTTCTGCAATAGATTAGAGTTATCGTTCTTGACAAAGATGGCGTTATTTGGAAAGGCTATACACAGTGCCATATTTGGGTTACTGTTAAAAGTAGATCGTTCGTTTTGTATTCGAGAAGACTTGGATGAAGAGGATTACACAATACTGAGGTGGAAAACATCTGTATATATGATAAAATATATTTCAGTATTTTAAAGTAAAGGTTGTCAAATGAACGGGATATATTACTGATATTACCTCTTATAAACAAAACTAATAAGCGTAGGACTTATTCAGGGCATTTGCAATGTATGGGAACCAGTCTACGAGGCAACAAAAATTCCGCCAAAAATAAACAAAGAGATTGCGAGATGTTGTTTACGTGTGTCACTCGACACTGACTGCAAGGTAATGAAAATGTGCTTATTTTTTGTGTATAACTGTTTTCTGTCTTTCAAGATATTGAACAACAGTCGTTTAACATTTAGACGAAACATCTAGGGGAGGGAGGGAAGAAGAGGGGTCACCTCTCAAGTTGTTGCATCTACTATATAGTGGTGATATCAGTGTCTGGATATAATAAATTAAAATGGAAAAAATCATAATAAAAATTTTGTTATAGATTTAGGAAAGTTAAATAAAGGGGCGACTATTTTTTGTTTGATGCGGGGGGGGGGGGAGGGTTAAAATATATTAACCTCAAAAATGTTTAAAAGATATAATCTCATTTCAACTGAAAAAAATGATTAATAATCTTTCCTTGTCTGATGCCATTATTCCCTTTACCTCACTGAAATAAGAGTTTCTGAGTCAGTTTATTTTTTCCTTTTTGTAATGGGGGGAGGGTCAAACTTTGTTCATTTAAGATAAACATGACTAATCTGTCCCTCATTATTAAGGAAATCAAATATTCTGTTCATCAATGATTGGAAAATAATTAATCCGACTTAGCTGTCAAAAAATTACCTTTTCATAATTTATCTTTTGTAGAAACAAAGAGTGGAGAGCTAATGCATGGTGCTAAGTATGGAAAGGTCTCTTGTTGTTTGGTTGTGCCAGAGACAAATGTGCATTATTTTCATATTGGGTAATGTCCTTAAGAATGGAATTTTTTTCAAATACAAGGGACATGACTTTTTTCATACATTATCACTGTACAGTGATCAAAATATTTTTAAACATTGTTAGATACTCACTACATTATTTCATCTTCAGAAAAGTATTTAAATTATTTTCTCACATTTTTTAAAGAGACCAGTGTGGTGAAGAGATTTTTTTTAAATTTTAATCTTGAATTTTGATATTATACAGGTCAGAAGTCTCGGTACACTTTAGGTGAGTGGCAGTTGGGTAGATGGATGACCTTCAGATAGTTTGAGATGAAGAAGTTCTCTTAAATGGTTGAAAGTGATCATCATAGAATCAACTCCATTATGAAGATAAATTATGAGAGTCAGGTGAGGAATTGACTTCAATGTGTTATCACATTGTGTAAATGAATCTTCATTATTAAGATCTTTTACATTTTATTTTTGAACTTGTTTTTCTATTATTCTAAACTTCCAAAAATAAGATTAAAGTAGTTAAAGCATGCTACAGACATTTAACGTATCTTGGCAAGTTTTCAAGGTTATTGCAGAAGTGCTTTAATTTCAAAAGATAACTAATTAATGCAAACCTGGAAAAGAAATGGATGTTATTCTCTATAATTTTAAAGATTATGTTTATTATTAGCACTTCTTTTGTCCAACACCTGAGAGATCTGAGTACCCAGCCTACTGTTGAATTAATTGGTGACCAAGAAAAGATGACAGAGAGGGGAATCAAATATGGATGCCATCATGATCAAGAATATATATAGATGAACATTCAAGCATTTATAATAATGAAAGTCATTCAGCAAGAGAGTTTTTGCACAAGTTTAATTTTCAGTAAAATTGTGTATATTGTGCACTGAGGAACTTAGTATGTAACTCATTATGATTATCCATTTCTTTAGAGGATGTATTCGGAGTATATTTAAATAATCATTATCTTCTAGAAAAGAGCACACAAAACTTTTCTCTCTGTGCGAAGCATGACACATATGCATACACTCCAGCATTTACCACAACCACAGTTAAATATTTTCCAGGGCGTATGAAATCGAGCACATACATGAAAATGTGTGAAGCTGGACACATATGCAAACACACAAGCATCTACCACAACACCAGTTACATATTTTCCAAGGCGTGTGAAGTCGAGCACATACATGAAAATGTGTGAAGCTGGACACATATGCAAACACACAAGCATCTACCACAACCAATTACATATTTTCCAAGGCGTGTGAAGATGGACACATATGCAAACATAATCTCCTACCACAGACGCAATACACATAACATTTAGTCCAAAGTATAAAGTCAAGCTCAAACAGGCTCACTGCGTGAAGCTGGACACATGCATTTACTTATGCATCTTGCAAAACTACATCTGAACCTATATTCTAATAGGTGTTTAAGAAATTTTGTGTAAATAATGTAAATTGCACCATTATGCTTACAAGATGTCAACATTATTAACCTGTACATAAATACTCATTAGATAGCCTTTAATAGTTTTAGTTGGAAATACTTGTACTTTGCCTGATTTATGTTGTGTAGTTTCTCGTCAGTGATCTTGAGTAATAACTGAGTATGGCATTTTTAGTTCCATTTAAACTGCAAAGTTTTAACACATGTACATACACCATAAAGGATAAATAATATTGTATTGTATTTTAACCTTTTTTAATTTTATTCTCTGTCATTTTATTGCCTGTTCAAGTAAAAGATGTAATCTTGTAATGTTTGTAACTGTTTTTGGTAGATATTTATGAAGCAGAAATTATAACAGAAAAGGTTTCAATACATCTACACAAGAAGCAAATAAAAAAAGAGTTCTCCATCTATCAGATATCAGCGAATCAGATGAGTTAAAGGTTAAGTCATAGGGAATTTTAAAGTTTATTATATCTATATTCTGATATCTGATACCATTTTTACATTTTTGATTGTCCATCTACAGTATACAAAAATAGTATAAATTTTTATATTTTGTAGATGACAATCTCTAATACTAAATAAACTGGAAATTGATATAACGCTTTAAAATTTGTGTATTTTTAGTAAGATTGAGGTGGGGGTAACACAAAAGACACATCAGATACCTATTTATTTTAAAAGTCAAAAACCATTTGTTGAAATCTTAAGTACGAGTGTATTAAGCAAAGGCCAGTATTTAAATAAGGATTTAAGAAAGTTTCATATATATATATATATATATATATATATATATATATATATATATATATATATATATATATATATATATATATATATATATATATATATATATATCAACTTTAATGCAGCATTAAAGGTGAAAGGTTAAATTTAATTACCTTTTCTTTTAAGTAAAGGTTAACTTTTCACCTTTACTTTTTGTAAAGTTAATACAAAGATGACCTTGCTTTTTGGAGCACCTTTAATGAGATTTACTTTGCAAGTAAAGTTTTGTAAAGCTATTTTTTCAAGCAGTGAATGCCAGAATCGCGCACTGGTCTATCTGTAACAACAGGTGTAGATTGCTTTTCTATTTCAAGGCGCAATCGCTCACAGCTCTTTTCAAGAAAAGATATCTCCTCATTGAGCATTTCTTCCATCGCGCTCATAATTTACAAAGCAAAAACAACGCAAAACTTTAATCAATTTAAAATATTTATAACTTTTATTATTTGCCGAATCCCACCGCGCTGCCACCAAATTTATGTAACGTTTCCGGGTTCGTTTATGGGATTTGGCTGTACTATCTGAACAATATAATTAAGTTAATTTAAAGATCTCAATAACAGATTTGAATTAGCAATATTTACAAATATCCCTGTCTTTTCTCGGGAGCGCACTCGCCTTCCAAGGCTTGAAGCGCATTCGCTTCTGACCTTCAGCCAAACCGTGTTATACAGTCTATATAATTCTATATACACTAACAAAGTCCCGAAAGCCTATTGCAGGCACGTAAGACTTTATTCAGGTATTAAACACAGCACCTACCACGTTTGGCTCTTTATTCATCTAGGCAGTCTTCACCTAACAGCCGTCATCTACCAACTGACTAGTCAAACCGACTGCCTCTATATATATATATATATATATATATATATATATATATATATATATATATATATATATATATATATATATATATATATATATATATATATATACCTTTCAGGTCACGTGACCTGCTGAGGACCGAAGGTAACAACACAAAGAAACAGGAAGTTAACACAATGCAGCTACCGAGAACCGTAAGGATAATTCGATCTTGATTAAATCTTTGCTACAGTATTATCAATTAACTATGGTTACTTTCATTCATATGTTGGTTCGATATATCCCATTGAGCTTGAAGAAAATATACCACAGATTCTGAAACATCTATTTCATATTTAGATATTTTACTAGAAAAAGCCGTCAATGGTAACCTAACAACCAAGCTTTATGATAAACATGATGACTTCAACTTTTCAATCGTCAACTTCCCTTACTTATGTAGCAATATACCTTATCACCTGCATATGAGGTTTATATCTGTCAGCTGATTCGATACGCAAGAGCAGGCTCTACGTATGAACAATTTCTAAAACGAGGCAAACTATTGACAACAAGTTGATGAAACAAGGATATCAACATCTCGTTTGAAGTCATCATTTTGCAAGTTTTATGGTCGATAAAATGACCTTCTCAGCACACACAATCTATCATTAAGTCAAATGCTGACTGATGTTTTTCATACTAATTGTTAGGCAATTACTTATACACTGAACTGTGTACGGATTTTTCCGTTTTTTTACCTAATCATGACAAGGAGCACAAGGCGGGTGTGACCGGTTGGCAGGGGATGCTCACTCCTCCATGGCATCTGATCCCATCTGTAAATTTTGAGGTCTGTGTTTGCTCTGCTCGAAATCTGTATCGTTTCATTGGACTTTGAGGTTGAATACTGTTCGCTATCTTTATATTTCATTTTGTTAACAAGCTACTTAATTTATTAATATTTTTGTGATGGAGAACATCAAACAAAATTATAAGATTTTTAGTTAATCACATTAATTGGTCATAAATTTGAGATATAAATTAAATATTACGAATATAAAAAAGACATATGTTTTTAGCAAATTGTCTTGTATATCCAAGTATATATCAATTTGTTGTATTCCGACTGAAATAATAGTTACGTAACTGAATTTTAATGATCATTAGTAGTTTTTACCTACAATAAATTTATTTGATTGAAACAAAATCATAAGATACCTTTTGAGATTTGAGATTTTAATTTGACCTGTAAATTGCTCCATTTTCCAGCATACATATATTTGGTATATATAATAAAGAGACTCGTACAATAATAATGACTGAAGAAAATAGTGATAAATATTTCAGATCAATTAACTCATTCGTGTACTAATTTTTATCATGTCTAATCTAATGGTTTTCAATGGTTTATTTTATATATATATATATATATATATATATATATATATATATATATATATATATATATATATATATATATATATATATATATATATATATATATATATATATATATATAATATATATATATATATTTATATATGAGGACCTTTCTCGTTTCTTTAATCAGCATTAACGTTAGAAAAATCTTTTTTAGTCAATAGTAGATTAATTGACACGTATCAAAAACAAACATTTAGCAGTTATATCTGGCATTACTATGAAAACATCATAGCTAACAGTAGCTTACTTCTGTTTACTTGATTTAATTTACAATGCATGAACTTCCAAAATAGGGTCCTGGACAGGAAATACCCATATTTGTTGTCGAGGACAAATCTATCATCCAGAATGGAATCTTTACAATTATCTTAGAAAGACAACATTTATTTTTATATTGGTGTCAATTATCTGCTTTTTAAGGATATGTGAACCTGAAATGAAAGTAATTGGAAATTTAAAAAATAGGTTTCATTACATAGAGGGTAAGTCCCTTGTTCAAAAACAACAATTTTGATATATGTACATGACTTGGTTTCCATGGCTAAAACCTCTGATCTTGCTCTTGTTTAAAAAAAAATAAAACTATGAAGATTGATTGTTTGATTCGCTCTACCGGCTGAGCTAAAGTGGCGACAAAGCTATGAAGTAATGTCTACTGTAATTAAATAAAGTAAAAAAAAATCTCATAAAGTATAATTAGAATTTCATTTCTTGCATTTATCTTAAAGATTTATGAATAACATAATGTAGTAAAGTTTTTTTAATAGGTATCATATTCACAAAGCTGGCAATCACAGTCTGAATTTCCTCTGTCCTCTTAA